AATCGGAAGTAGCTCAACAGTGCGATTCGGCTTTTATCACGCATATAATTCCCCCGAGGGCGATAATGCGCTTCGTCAAGACTTTTTGAAATTGGAATGAAGATGTGGATGATTGGAATCAGCTGTTTGCGGCAATCTTCTACATTCTCAAGATCGACCACCGATATCATATCATCCCGATGCACGATGTCGACTCAGCTCCAATTTTGAACTATGTGAACTGGCGATTCACCTCAGACAACCTACCTAATAAATTTATGATTGTTCATCCTATCCTTCCAATGCGAGGATGTCGGCTTCTAGATGGCCTAGAAAACTCGTTCTTATTGGAAATGGAAGCTGAAAAATAGGTGAAACTTATGATAAAAAAAATTTGATAATTTAAAAATATCCTAATTTTTATAATTTTCCCAAAAGTCAAAAAAAAAATTTTAATATTCTCTGGTACTCCAGCTATCATTTCGACAAAAAACGAGCTTTCTAGTTCATCTAGAAGCCGAGATACAGCCATTTGAAGTTTTGAAGAAACGCAGACAGTTAGAGTGTCTCGTTGTCTGCATCTCTCCTAAACTTCCAATCACTGTATCTCGACTTCTAGATGACCTAGGAACCCCGTTTTTTGTGGTAATTTATGCTGAAGGCTGGAAGAGTTTTTTACTAAAACAAACTTAGGATATTCCCAAAAAATTTTTTATATTAGGTTGGCGGGAAAGTCTTTGTCACTTTTTCAATAGTTTATTTCTCAAAGAAAAAATAACCGAATAATTAATTATATTGTCCATCATTATCAACAACATGTCTCCAACGTTCCTCAATTTATGGATTCCATTGCGGTAGAATCCAGCCGGGCGTGAGGCAAAGTATTGTTTGAGTGCCGCTTCGACCGCTCCACGGGAATTGAAGCTTCTTCCTTCGAAGGCACGTGTCATATCGCCAAATAACCAATAGTCGGAAGGAGCAAGATCAGGAGAATACGGGGGGTGAGGGAGAACATTCCATCCATATCCCATCAGCTCCTGCTTCACTTGTTTCGAAACATGTGGGCGAGCGTTATCATGTTGATAGTACACTTTCTTGTCTTTCAGGGCCGAACGGTCGACTGCTTTCTTGAGGTTTCGTAGTTGAGTAGTGTAGAGGTCTCCAGTTATTGTTTTGCCCTCGGGCAGAAGTTCCCAGTAGATGGGGCCGTCCACTCCCCACCACACAGAGAGCATAACTTTTTTCGGATGAAGGCCGGGTTTGGGGACATCCTGTGGGCTCTCTCCTTCTCCAACCCACTGGGATTTCCTGTGGTGATTATCGTAGAAGACCCACTTCTCATCTCCGGTTATTAGCCGGTCCAGCCATCGATCGCCCGCGTGGAGAGTGAGAAGAGTAATCGAATCGTCGACTCGGCGGTCAAGGTTGGCTTGAGTCAGGTGATGAGGTATGAATCGACCAAAAAGTTTTCTCATTCCAAGAGACTTCAAACCTTCAAGGACTGTGCTATGGTGAACTCCGAATGTGACAGCTAGTTCACGGCTAGATTGAAATGGATCCGATTGCAATGCGTGCTTCAGCTTGTCCAAATCCAACTCACGGGGTCTCCCAGAGCGATCCTTTTCATCGAGCGAGAAGTCATCTTTTTCGAAACGATGGAACCAATTGCGAATAGTATTGTAGTGAGGGGCATGTGTGTTGTACACATTCTTCAAGAAAGTTTCCGAATCCTTCATCGTGGTGTGAGATAGGAAGAGGTAAATCAAAACATGTCTGATGTGAATAGCAGTGGGAACAAACATATCGTTTCAATTACAGATGAGGAGCAGGGAAGGAAATGGGGACTTGTTTATATGGAAGGTTCTTATCACCTTGTTATTCACTAGAGTCGATATCATACACAGCCTCCATATACGAGAACAGTGATTAAACAAACAGAGTGACAAAGACTTTCCCGCCAACCTAATATTTTTTTAAATCAAAACTACAAATTTCTAAAATATCATTATATTCTCCAGCATTCGTTTCAACCAAAAACGACTTTTCTAGCTCATCTAGAACGCGAAGTACATCGATTTAAAGCTAATGAGACTAGAGACGCAGACAACGAGACACTCTAACTGTCTGCGTCTCTCAAAACTTCAAACGGCCATATCTCGGCTTCTAGATGGCCTAGAAAACTCGTTCTTATTGGAAATGGAAGCTGGAAATGAGCAAATTCTTCTGATACCAAAATTTCTGAAAATTCGGGAAAAGTTCAGAATTCAAAGAACACTTATCCTCTCATTTATCTCAGCTGTAGGTAGTTGAACTAGTTGTAAAGCACTTAAATTTCGAGATTGCTCATTTCTCAGCTGACGCTATCCCTGAGGACACTTACACTTTTCTTTGAGTGTCTTAGGGTGGCCGGAAAGGTCGAGACACTAAAAAACTTTATTAAGGGTCACAATTTTAAATTTCCCATAAAACTATTTTGAATCTCCCGAACACAAATCTGACCTAATTCTCCATGTAACACCAGCCATTTTGAGATATTTTCATCTAAAAATTTCAGATCTCCGAATCCCAATACCGTCAACACCAGCCGTCGTACCCGCAGAACTATCACAACCAGAACCAAAACTACAATTCCCATCAGCAGCACTACCATCAGCAGCAACACCAGCAACATCAACATGCTCAACACATTGCTCAGCAGCAAAAAACAGCGGCCGCGCAGCATCAACAGTACCCCTATAACAACCATCCGAGTCCGAGTGAGTTTAAAGGCGCATAACTTTTTTAAACATTGATATTTTTGAAAAATTTAAAATGGAAAGTTTAGGATTTAAGATTTGCTATACAATGATGTAAAATTTAACAAAGTTTGAATTAGTCGGTGTCGTACGCACCGCTGTTAACATACACCACTATTTTGAGGTGCACTTTTCGCCTGTCTGATTGGCGGCTCTTTTTCAATTGATTACCGTTCAGAATCCTAGTTGTGTTTTATACCATTTTGTAACCCTGTTTTAAATCTATATTTTCCATTTTAAAGAATTCAGAAATGTTGAGTTTGAAGCGAGTTACAAGCCAACGATAATCCGGATAGTACTGAGCGTCGCTTACAAGGAACTTTCATTTTGAAACGCCCATAACTTTCTTCAGAATTGATATTTTTGAAAAATTTAAAAATGAAAATGTAGGATTTGATATTGTCCATCTTATGATATAAAATCCAACTAACTTCTATTTAGCTGGTCTCGTACAGACGGGCGTTAACATACACCACGAGTTTGTGACATTATTTTTGACTCTCTCTTTGGCGCCTCTTGTGCAACTGGCTTCGACTGAAACTTTCTTGTGTTATACATAAGTTTGTTAAGGATTTCAATATCTACGTTTTCCATTTTAGAAAATTCAAAAATATTAAGTTTGAAGCGAGTTAAGGAAGCTACAGTATGACTCTCTTTTCAAATATTTCCAAAATTTATTTTTAAAATTTCCAGACTCGATAAAAGCCTATCAAACCGCCTATCCATCGGTTCCACATGCTTCTGTGCTGAATCAGCCGACCCATCAGATTTGCGACATCCCGCCAGATTTGTGGTAAGTGCTTTCTTGCCGTTGAAATCAAAGATCAAAAATCAAACAATGCTCTAAAAATGTCTAATAGTGTATAGAATCCATTCAGTACGCTTTAAAAAAGAAGCGAAAAAGATTTAACCCACCGGGGGTTCGAACCCTGGTGTCATATTTACCAACCAATCTCCTTCCCACCTGCGCCAAGTGTGCGCGGCGCGTCGCTTCTCTCTTTTTGCCCTTATAAACCCACCAATTTCAGGTGCGACAGCCCTCAATCCGCCCAACAGTGCGGTGTGCAACGTCAATGCGACTCACTTCGCCATCGCAGACAACCCATCAAAATCACACTGATCTATGAGGCATTATGTCCGTATTGTCAAAAGTAGGTTTTTCTAGGCCACCTTTGGTTTTAACGGTAATTGAAAATTTTGAAAGTTGATATTTCAGATTCATCGCTAATCAGCTGGGAAGTGTGTTCAATCAATTTCAAGGACAATTGATTTTGGAACTGGTGCCATGGGGGAATTCCAGGATAATGATAGTGAGTCTTTCAAATTGATAGAATAGAATTTTAAAAAACGAAACCTTTTTTAACGAAAAAAAAATAAAAAATTGTGAGTTTTGTTAGATTTTAAAGTTCAAAATGAACTAAAATGGCCTAAAATAAGTTTCCCATCACTTTGAAACCCTTTAAAATGTTCTAAAAAGAAAGAAAAAAAAGACTTTTGCCACCAAAAGGGTCGTACCCGCGACCTCTCCAACGGCGTCGCCGCCTCCCCGGCTTGCGCCACGCGCGCACTAAATCCTCGTATACCAAAGGGCGTAGATAAACGTTCGGCTTTTCAGGACGGCTCGTTCTCCTGCAATCACGGGCAAAAAGAGTGCGACGCGAATCGACTTCAATCTTGTGTTATCGATATTTTGAAGGTCTGAAATTAACTGAAAAAATCGATAATCGATTTTTTCTAGGTCAAAGGAGCACTTCCATTCATTGTCTGTTTTGAGAGAAACATTCAGCATTACGGTGTTGAGCACGCGATGCAAACGTGCTCCGCGTTCATTCGAAGCCAGTATAGACAGATACGGTAGGATTGCTCAGCTTGAAATTTTTGGGAATTTCGAAAATTAAAAAATTGAAAATTTCGAAATTCTGAGTTTTTAGAAAATTCAAAAAAAAATCCAAAATTTCAATTTTTTGGAATTTTCCAAAATTCCTAAATTTTTGAAAAACCAAATTTTCAAAAAAAATTCAAAAAACCCAAAAATTCGAATTTTCAAGTTTTGGTTTTTTGGAATTTTCTAAAGTTTCAAAATTTGAAATTTTTCCGAAATTTTTAAATTTTGTAATTTTTGAATTTTTCAAAAAATAAAACAATTCGAAATCCAAAAAATTAAAAAAAAAATCAAAAAATTGTGAAATTTCGTAATTTTTGAGAAATTTAAAAACTTCAGAAAATTACAAAAATTTGGATTTTTAAAATTTTAGTTTTTGGAATTTTTAAGTTTTCAAATTTTGAAAATTTTCCGAAAATTTAGGAATTTGGAAAATTTCAAAAAATCGAAATTTTAGTTTTTCGGAATTTTTTGAATTTTCAAAATTTGAAAATTTTCCGAAAATTTATAATTTTTTTTTGAATTTTCCAAGATTTCCAGATTTTTCTCAATTTTCAGCCAATGCTACGACGGCCCTCGCGGCATTCAGCTTCAGCGGGAAGCCGCTCAAAAAACCATGAGCACTCGTCCGAACCCCATCGTCGAGGTACCGTACCTCCTCATCAACGACTACACACCATCAGTCGATATGAACAATTTAAATGTGCTTCTTCTGCCTCAATTGCTAGCTAAATGGACCAAATTAACTCATAAACAGTGAGGACCTAAATTGGGAATTTTGGGATTTTTTTTTGGAATAAAAATTTAATTTTTTGTTAAAATTTGGACTAAAAAACTTGGGTTTTTTGGGAATGGGTAAAACTTTTTAATTCGAAAAATGGACAATTTTTTGGGACAAAATCGGAAAATCGGGAAAAAAAGAGACAATAAATTATGGGACGGTGAGAGGGGAGCCGAGACATCAAAAGTAGGGATTACGGTAGTTTTGGAAGCACTGGAATTTGAAAAAAAAAACGCCTCAAAAATCGGTCAAAAAATCGCCTTTTTTGCGATTTTTTGGGGTTTTTAAGGCTGAGCAATCGATGAACATCGATTAAAAAACGATTTTTAAGCGATTTTAGGTTTTAAAATCAGGAAAAGTCAGTCAAAAAAGATTGGTTTTTTTTTTCGATTTTTTCAAATTTCTCAGGGGTTTTTTAATTCTGAGCAATCACGAAAAATAGACGATTTTGAGGTCATTTTTGATCAAATTTTCCAGGTTTTTTTTCAAATTTCAATGCTTAGCAATGACCTTAATCCTACCAATGAAAAATGATGAAAATACACAGTAAAAACGCGGGAAAAACGAAAAAAGGCAATTATTGCAACGAGGTGGTCGCCATCATTCCAGCCAAACTCTGCACAATATTATCATTGAGCATTTTGCTGACCTCGTCGGCGATGTGACGTTTCGGATCGATTTTTCCAACGTTCTTGATCGCCAGCTCCTGGTCCGTCATGTTTTTTTCGTCCTCCAACGCCTTCTTGTAGTTTTTGGCCAGTTTTAGCATCGCTTTGAGGTGGTCCTTGTTCTTCTCGCCGCATTTCGTGTAGTTCTCCACGCTGACCGCGTCCATCCACGAGAGTTTGTTCAGGTTGAGCAGCATCTTCTGCTCGAGGTCGTGGGTACGGTAGGCGATGGGGATCGAGTAGTAGTGACGGTTCAGACCATGGATTAGAGCCTGGAAATTCAGAATTTCCATCTTTCAGGGGGCAGAAAACTCTATTCTAAAATCCTAAGAATTCGAAATACAGGAATCTCCATTTTTCACGAATTTTCCGATGTTCTATTTCTACATTTTCAGAATTTTTCAGTTTCAAACTACTGAAAATCATGATTTTTAGTCAATTCTAATCTAAAATTCGTGATTTTCAAGCTATTTTTACTCTGAAAATCATGATTTTCAGTCAATTTTAACCAGAAAATCATGATTTTCAAGCTATTTTCACTCTGAAAATGTGATTTTTAGGTAATTTTTGACCTGGAATTCCCAATTTTCAGTCAACTTTAGATTGAAAAATCATGATTTTCAGTCAATTTTAACCTAAAAATCATGATTTTTAGGTTATTTTTACTCTGAAAAGGCGATTTACAGTCTATTTTTGACCGAAAAATCATGATTTTCAAGCCATTTTTACTCTGAAAATGCGATTTTTAATCAATTTTAACCTGAAAACCATGATTTTCGGTCAATTTTAACCTAAAAATCATGATTTTTAGTCGACTTTTCACTAGAAAATCATGATTTTTAGCCCCTTTAAAGGGGGACTCCGACCAAAAA